TCTCTCTCCATTTGATAAAATCAATTTCGATCACACAAAGTATGAAGTAATAAATACCATATTCTGATGGGAAAAAAAAAATCTCTCTCCATGAAGGCCATGGCATTTTAATGCTGGCTATATGTGCAAGGGTCAGATAAAGTCAAATTAGGGTTTCAGAAGAAAATATTAACAAGAAAACCTTTTTTTAGTGGACAAAGAATAAGCCAGATTGTGTACTTAATATACTCTAATGGTCCCAACTCCTTCTTACTGCTTGAGGCTGACTCAGGAAGGACTCCCTCAAATTGCTATGTGAAATACAGTTAAAGGACCACTCTAGGCACCCAGACCACTTCAGCTTAATGAAGTGGTCTGGGTGCCAGGTACCTCTAGGATTAACCCTTTTTTTTTAATAAACATAGCAGTTTCAGAGAAACTGCTATGTTTATACTGAGGATTAATCCAGCCTCCAGAGCCTCTAGTGGCTGTCTCATTGACAGCCGATAGAGGCGTTTGCATGCTTCTCACTGTGAAAATCACAGTGAGAGCACGCAAGCGTCCATAGGAAAGCATTCAGCCGATGACGTCGCGAGCAAGGAGGAGAGGAGGAGTACAGCTCCCCGCCCGGCGCTGGAGAAAGGTAAGTGTTTAACCCATTCCTCTCTCCAGAGCCCGGCGGGAGGGGGTCCCTGAGGGTGGGGGCACCCTCAGGGCACTATAGTGCCAGGAAAACGAGTATGTTTTCCTGGCACTATAGTGGTCCTTTAAAGGAATAGTGCACACACAAAAACAAAAATCCAGTTTTAAATTGTACAAGGAAACTTAAAATCATCCATCCCAGAAAACAAATATGGGGATTCAGTTACACCAAATGGCCATATTGCGTTAAGCCACGTCACAGTGCACCAAACTCGGTGGTTCCTACATTAATTTAAACATGGGAGATTTACATGCTAACTGCAATACTTACAGTCTAAACTGCTTCCAGAGACGTAATCTATGCTTTCCTGTGGTCACAAAGGGGTACATATAGTGGATGGGTAGGGAGCTCAGCTCAATAGGAATCTGATCTGGCTCCCAGACAATTTCATTGAGATGAAGTGGACTAGGTGACAATAGTCTCCCTTTAACTATATTAACAGATAACTAGAAAAGATGTGCAATGGGTACCTCTTAAAAAATAAAAATAAAAATGAGTAGGTGTCCCTATAGCCCCTAGTAATCAGCTATAGTCGCCTAGTAACCAGAAAGGTTCCAACATAAAGCCTCTTAATAGCATAGTGATTTTTGTACGTGGATATAAAAGTAAGAACTATATTTTAATTTCTAGTCCTTTTAATTTTAATTGCAGCCATTTTCTGTAATTCACTTTAGCAAGCCAGGATTTATAGAGCATATAGGTAGAAGTCTATACACAATGGGAAGTGCATGGGAGCATCACACCTGGATTGCGTTGCTATAGAAACTCCACACGCAAGCGTCTGCCTCAAGACTGAATAAATGAATGAACAGAAAACTGAATGTGCTTTACTCCCTCGGCTCAGTAAATGCAGGGATGGGGAGGTGGGTTGCTAAGCAACAGTGTGCTGAGGACTAGAGCTCTTTGAAATGAACAAAGCTGACCCCACTCGCAATTTAGAAGTCCCCTCTTTTGAAAATCTTTTATGTGCAGGTCAGTGGGAAAAACTGCAACATTGTGAATAAAAGAGTAAAAAAAAAAAAAATGGATGGACAGTGAGGGAAAAATAGAAAGGAAATGGGAAAATAATTACACTGGGAGACGTAAGGCAAACCAGAAAACAAAGGAGTTGCCTATAAATCATCAGCGACAAAGAATAGAACATATTTATTGAGGGGTGCGTGCTGTGTAAAGAATAGGTTTTACCATACACAGTGGTTTTCCAGTGCCCATAAGCATGAGTACCTAAAGCCTATATAAAACAATGATCTCCTAAGAAGCAGTTTAGTGATAAAAATGTAACAGTAATATAAACATTAAGCAAAGTTATCTGCTGCAAGGATTTTAAAAAGTACTTATTGTGAGTTCTGAGACAGATTTGGCTATGAGAACCTCTACTGTTTACTACTCAAACTAACCTTAAATGACCACTATAGGCACCCAGACCACTTCAGCTTAAGGAAGTGGTCTGGGTGCCAGGTCCCTCTAGGATTAACCCTTTCTGCTGTAAACATAGCAGTTTCAGAGAAACTGCTATGTTTACAAATGGGTTAATCCAGCCTCTAGTGGCTGTCTCATTGACAGCCGCTAGAGGCGCTTCTCACTGTGATTTTTACAGGAAAGGAGGAGGAGAGTCCCCAGCGCCGAGGGAGCCCGGCGCTGGAAAAAAGGTAAGGGATTAACCCCTTCCTGCCCCTAGCGCTCGGCGGGAGGGGGACCCAGAGGGAGAGGGGGACCCAAAGACCATATAGAGCTAGGAAAACAAGTATGTTTTCCTGGCACTATAGTGGTCCTTTAAACATAAAATTTGTGCCAGATTTCTCATGTACCTCTATGTTCAACTGTCTATATTGCGTTGGAGGAATGCCTTTGGGTTACCTCACAACCGTCTGTTATATGCTTATGCACTACAAAAATAAAGAATTAAAAAGAAAAAAATGTACTTATTGGTGCATATTGCAATCCCCTTGCTATAACTAGAGGGCAACATTCCAATTATGTATATATAGCACTTCTTACTTCTTCCGGACAGCCGCTAGAGGCGCATCTGTGACGCTGGAGGCGAATTTCGCCTCCATCGCACAGAGCGTCCATAGGAAAGCATTGGGAAATGCTTTCCTATGGACACTTTGAATGCGTGCATGGCCCTTGCTGTGCATGCGCATTCGACTCCTGTGACGTTGGACGGGAGGAGAGGTCACCAGCGCTGAGGGAGCCCGGTGCAGGAATAAGGTCAGCTGCTGAAGGGGTTTTAACCACTTAAGCACCACGGGAGGAGGACCCTGAGGGTGGGGGCACCCTCAGGACACTATAGTGTCAGGAAAACCGCTGTTTTCCTGACACGATAGTGATCCTTTAAAGGGACTCTCCAGGCACCAACAAAACAGATCTGGAGATCTTAGTTTTATTTTCGCATGCCCAATTTCCTCACACAAGAGACAAAGAAAAAGTATTTAGCAGCATTCTACCTTTTAGCATTGCCTCCTCTGTTCCACCCCCATTCTAAAATACTTTCATCATGGTTCCTTTTATGACATTCCTAATATTTGTGTATTTTATATTTGTAATTACTTTCCAAGTATCCACAAAGTAGCATGCACCGCTTGTTCAACAACAATAAATGGGACTCTGGAGAACTTATTGTTATTGCAACAGGGAACACGGAATGTTTGGACTCTGCTGATTTCGTAGTTTAATTGGGCACATGGCATCCACTCTCTGATTCATCTGCTACACTAAGTCTCAGCTATGAACCACTATGTCTCTAAAGATTACTTAATTTACGGAGTCCCCAGTCAACAGCACCCTGTATTTTGAAACTCCCTAGTATGCACCCACATTTTGGTCACAGTTAGGAGCTGTACACGTCATTAGGGAACAGGGACACTGGCTATGTTTCTATCCTTAACATTTCTATATTTTATGTTACATAAGGAGGTTAGTAGTGGCAAGTAACATTTAAGTATAGCCCATAGCAAAGGAAATGGAAGTCTGAGATCTGATGTAATCTACATCCATAATGTGGATAGCCTGAGTTAGTCCTTCCTCCCCATGTGGACACGCTACCAATGGACCTAAAACTTGACTCCTCAGATATATAATTTAGTCGAAATACAAAGAAAAATGTGTAACGAAATGTAAGTTTTCAATCTTCACATTGGACACCAGGATACATAGTAAAACATTTTCAACTATCTGCTCAGCATTTGCCACACAAAGGCACCTGAAGTCGCAGTTACACGCTTGGTTTAGCATGCATTTTTAATAAGGTTTTATTTTATCACAAGTCGCTCTCCACATTTGCTTCTTTGCAGAAATATTGAATGCTCAAAGAATGTAGTCTAGGACTGCCAGGCTTAATACAGTGCAGGAGCTCCAGAGGAAGCAGTGGCACGCACCCACTGGACGCCAGGAAATTTCTCAAACTACTATTAGGCATTTTGACTACTTAATCAGTTTTGGCACCAGGCCACTTCTAGAAACATAATCACTACAACATGATGTAGTGGTTATTGTGTTTGGCATGTTCCTTTAAGTCAATGTAACTACTCTCATATTATGAAGGATATGTATGAAGCCAAGCATAGAAGTGCCCAACCCATAGAGAACAGTTTACTCTATGCTATCAGTGTATGTTTGCTAATCTTTCACTGCGTATGTGTTCCACACCTATTTATCCGTTTGCTTACGTGTACCAAAGCAAAGCAGATTACAATTTACAGGAAAAAACATTAGTTGGATTCCCTTTTGAATTCTCAGAATGGTCAGCAAAAACCTTAATCTGCACTTGGAGAACTATTGGCAAAAATAAATAAATTAAAATAACGTACACTATGCACTTTAAAACCGTATTTCAGAGAACAATGGAGGAAATACATGGGACATTGCTGAGTCAGCAATCAATAATCAGTATTCTCCTTTTATGTGTATGTAATATTCTTATGAGTCTTTGAATTGATAGCTTTTAGCCTGTTAATATATTCATGAAATCGTATGTTGGATGGCAGAATAGCCAGAATATACTATGAAGAATAGCTGAAACACAGAAAGTTCAGTGAATGTAATGTTTCCTATGCTGCTCAGATTTTGCCAAGGTACTCCCAAACAGAGTCCTACCTTTTGACTTCAAGATGAGCTTAGTTAGAAATAAAATCGAAATATTTAATCATTTTAAAAGTTTATCAAGGAATATTGAATCATTTGAAAAGCTTATCAAAACAATATTACATTTAGACCATAATAAATAAAAATAAACCTGTGTCTATGTTACATTAAAAAGTTTACACTGGGCAGTTTGCCAACATTGGACTCCATATAGGCAAATACAGCCTGGAAATCT